TCTCCATACTAGATTACACATACCATTACAAAAATGCATTGAAAGAATATCCAAGCTAGCAAGCACAGACAGCAACAGGAACAATAATTTCACAAGCTGCTGAGATTGACTTCAGTGATATTTTTCAGAGGAACAAGACTTATGATAAACATGTTTTGAAAACATTCTCTCATGTTTGTGCTTGACTGAATTGATTATAAAATCTAAGCATGGGATTCCTGACCTTATATTTATGCTTCCATCTGGAAGAGGAATATATTGTCAGAGACAGTCTCATGCATAAAGACGGTCAAATTAAATGTAACGTGGCGCTTTAAACATAAGATTCCACCTATTTTTTTTCACCTTTAAACATTTCACTTGTGCTGTGTCAGTGTTGTCAGATTAAAATCCAGACAGCACAGAAAATAAAGTCATGGCTACAGTAACCACTAATCATATACACTTCCTCGGAGTTCAAGCAATCCACATTTGACACAAATTAAAATAAATATGGGACACTCTAAGCAGCTGCAAAACTGATAACTGAAGCCACAGTTTTGACTTTCTGAAGTTGGACTGCTGTGCTTATAACTTCCCATATAAAATCACAACACTACACATCAAAACTGTATAGCTTGTAATCAGATATCAATGCTATAATGCACTGATGTTAAAGGGATAGTTCACCCAAAAATGAAAATTTGATGTTTATCTGCTTACCCCCGGGGCATCCAAGATGTAGGTGACTTTGTTTCTTCAGTAGAACACAAACGAAGATTTTTTAACTCAAACCGTTGCAGTCTGTCAGTCTTATAATGGAAGTGAATGGGAATCACGGCTTTGAGAGTCAAAAAAAACATACACAAACAAAACCTAATTAAACCCTGCGGCTAGTGACAATACATTGATGTGTAAAGACACGAAATGATCGGTCTGTGCAAGAAACTGAACAGTATTTATATCGGGTTTTTTTTACCTCTAATTCACCGCAATTCACACACACAAACCCAGTAACTCACCAAAACAAAAATGGGAGTGCATTTTACACTTAAATAATCCAGCTGTTTTTCTTGACAGTAAACCCCTGGCTCATATTTTAATAGTGCTTGCAGACTAACCACAAACACAAGAACTGGCAAAAATATTTAAATGAAAAGCAATGCTATTAAATTATTAACTACTAAATTATGTATCAGACCATATCTTAATAATACAATCATATATTGCACAATCTATATTCAAGGAAATCAGCTTAACTGGGTCCTGCATATATAAAAACACCCTGTAACAAATGTTACCTTGCACAATGAATGAATATACTGACATAGTTCTTTCAGCAGAAAGAAAAAAAAGGTTAGGTGCTGGAAAATCTTACAAATCACCTTGCAGGCTCCAACTCATTAACTGTACTTACCAGAAGCATTAAACATTCTACCCTGTGCAAGCAACACTTTGGGTAGATGCATTAGCTTCACTCATGCTGCAAATATTAAAGTGTATTGGAACTATTGGGCTAACTGAAATAAAATCATTCAGTCCTGTTGATCATCATCATGAGCCTATCTATATAAGCAGCAGTCACTGCGGCGTCCCAGCGACAATTCTTCCAGGGGTGGCAGCAAGCCAAGTTTGTTTACCATTAGCCATCAGCTGCACGATAGTGTCCCTAAATTGATATGATACATTAAATATCTATATAACAAAACAAACACACAGGTGTTACAGTATTATAATATTTCAATGTAGTCATATCTCACTGTATAAAGGCAACAGTCTTATTCAATGTAAATGGCACTCAAAAGATCATGAACAACAACTACAACAACAGCCGGGATCAATTTCCCAACATTTTGTTCTTGATTTATTCCTAATTAAATAATCCTAAGTGTTCAATCAAACTATTACCTTTCCTTTAACACGGTCACTTCTGGTAAATTTTTTGGCCAAAGGGGTGGGGAGAACCCATATACAGTCATGGCCAAAAGTTTTGGCAGTGACATAAATTGTGTTTTGCAAAGTTTGCTGCTTCAGTATTTGTAGATTTTTCCACGTTTCTATGGTTTACTGAAAAACAACGACAAGCATATCATAAGTTTAAGGCTTTTATTGGCCAAAAAAATATGAGTCAATATTTAGTGTTGACCCTTGTTCTTCATAACCTCTGCAATTCGCTCCGGCATGCTGGATATTAGCTTCTGGGACAAATCCTGACTGATGGCGATCCATTCTTGCCTTATTAGTTCTCGGAGTTGATCACAATTTGTGGGCTTCTGCTTGTCCACTCATCTTTTGAGGACGGACTACAGGTTCTCTATGGGATTGAGATCCGGGGAGTTGCCTGGCCACGGATCCAAAATTTCAATATAATGATCTTCGAGCCACTTCTTTATTTCTCTTGCTTTGTGACATGGTGCTCCGTCATGCTGGAAAATGCACAGATCATCACCAAATTGCTCATGGATCGTTGGAAGTCGCTCTTGCAGGACATTTTGATACCATTCTTTATTCATGGCAGTGTTTTTGGGCAAAATTATGAGAGAGCCCACTCGCTTGGTTGAAAAGCAACCCCACACACATGGATGGTTTCAGGATGCTTCACTGATGTCACAACACAGGACTCATGGTAGCGTTCACTTTTTCTTCTCCGAACAATCGATTTTCCAGATGTCCCAAACAGTCGGAAGATAGCTTCACCAGAGAAAATAACTTTGCACCAGTCTTCTGCTGTCCAATCCTTGTACTTTCTGCAGAATTTCAGACTGTCCTTGAGGTTTTTCCCTGGAGAGAAGTGGCTTCTTTGCTGCCCTTCTTGACACCAGGCCGTTGTCCAAAAGCCTTGGCCTCACTGTGCGTGCAGATGCTCTCACACCAACCTGCTACCATTCTGGAGCAAGCTCTGCACTGCTGGTGACATGATTCCGTAGCTGACTCCTCAGGAGGAGACGTCCTGGCGCTTGCTGGACACTCTGGGACGTCCTGAAGACTTCACTGCAGTCGAACCGC